AATTAATTGAATTAATTGAAATAATTAAATTAATTCAATTAATTCAATTAATTCCACCTCCCCTTTGGAAATAAATGAATTAATTGAATTAATTGAATTAATTGAATTAATTCAATTGAATGAATTCATTTATTTCCAAAGGGGGGGGTGGGGGCGTGTGCAGCTTAAATAGGGTCTATTTGGAAGCTGGGAATCGTATTTACAAGAGGAAAACAGGCCCCAAAACGTATCCTTATTCACAAGAGCCATGTTCCAAATAGACCCTATTTTAGGTCCTGTAGGGTTGCACAGACAGAATTTAATTCATTAAATTCCTTAATTTCCACTTTCCCCCTGGAATTTAATGAATTTACTCAATTAATTCAATTAATTCATTTATTTCCAAAGGGGGGGGGGGGTGGAATTAATTGAATCAGTTGAATTAATTGAACTAATTGAGTTAATTGAATTAATTGAACACCCCCTTTGGAAATAATTGAATTAATTGAATTAATTGAATTAATTGAATTAATTGAATTAATTGAATTAATTGAATTAATTGAATTAATTGAATTAATTGAATTAATTGAATTAATTGAATTAATTGAATTAATTGAACCCCCCCCTTTGGAAATAATTGAATTAATTGAATTAATTGAATTAATTGGAATTAATTCAATTAATTCAATGAATTCCACCTCCCCTTTGGAAATAAATGAATTAATTGAATTAATTGAATTAGTTGAATTATTTCGATTAATTCAATTAATTCAATTAATTCATTTATTTCCAAATGGGGGGGATTCCCCAGCCCCCACCCCTCCCCCCCTTTGGAAATTTCCACCCCCCCTTTGGAAATAAATGAATTAATTGAATTAATTGAATTAATTGAATTAATTGAATTAATTCAATTAATTCAATTAATTCAATTAATTCAATTAATTCAATTAATTCAATTAATTCAATTAATTCAATTAATTCATTTATTTCCAAAGGGGGGGTGGAATTAATTGAACTAATTTAATTAATTGAATTAATTGAATTAATTGAATTAATTGGAATTAATTCAATTAGTTCAATTAATTCTTTTATTTCCAAATGGGGGGGATTCCCCAGACCCCACCCCCCCAGCTCGATTTGGCCAAATTTTGCCCGGAGGCTGCCCGGCAAAATTTGGCCAAATCGAGCCGCGCCTTTCTGGAGGCCCGAAATTATTTAAACTATCGCGGCTCGATTTGGCCAAGTTTTGCCGGGCAGCCTCCGGGCAAAATTTGGCCAAATCGAGCCACGCATTTCTCATCGCATACGAAGGGCAGCCCGATTTGGCCAAATTTTGCCCGGAAGCTGCCCGGCAAAATTTGGCCAAATCGAGCCGCGATAGTTTAAAAATTTCGGGCCTTCAGAAAGGCGCGGCTCGATTTGGCCAAATTTTGCCCGGAGGCTGCCCGGCAAATTTTGGCCAAATCGAGCCGCGCATTTCTCATCGCGTTCGACGAGCAGCCCGATTTGGCCAAATTTTGCCCGCAGACTGCCCGGCAAAATCTGGCCAAATCGAGCCGCGCCTTTCTGGAGGACCGAAATTATTTAAACTATCGCGGCTCGGTTTGGCCAAATTTTGCCGGGAAGTCTGCGGGCAAAATTTGGCCAAATCGAGCTGCTCGTCGTACGCGCTGAGAAATGCGCGGCTCGATTTGGCCAAATTTTGCCGGGCAGCCTCCGGGCAAAATTTGGCCAAATCGAGCCGCGCATTTCTCATGACATACGAAGAGCAGCCCGATTTGGCCAAATTTTGCCCGCAAGCTGCCCGGCAAAATTTGGCCAAATCGAGCCGCGATAGTTTAAATAATTTCGTTCAATTAGTTCATTCATTTCCAAATGGGGGGGATTCCCCAGCCCCCACCCCCCCCCCTTTGGAAATAAATGAAATAATTGAAATAATTGAATTAATTGAATTAATGGAATTAATTGAATTAATTGAATTTCAATTAATTCAATTAATTCAATTAATTCATTTATTTCCAAAGGGGGGGGGTGGAATTAATTGAATTAATTGAATTAATTGAATTAATTCAATTAATTGAATTGATTCAATTAATTCAATTAATTCAATTAATTCAATTAATTCCAAATGGGGGGATTCCCCAGCCCCCACCCCTCCCCCCCCTTTGGAAATAAATGAATTAATTGAATTAATTGAATTAATTGAAATAATTGAATTAATTCAACTAATTCAATTAATTCCACCTCCCCTTTGGAAATAAATGAATTAATTGAATTAATTGAATTAATTGAATTTCAATTAATTCAATTAATTCAATTAATTCAATTAATTCAATTAATTCAATTAATTCAATTAATTCAATTAATTCATTTATTTCCAAAGGGGAGGGGGGGTGGGGGCTGGGGAATCCCCCCCATTTGGAAATAAATGAATTAATTGAATTAATTGAATTAAGAAATTTCAATTAATTCAATTAATTCCACCTCCCCTTTGGAAATAAATGAATTAATTGAATTAATTGAATTAATTGAATTAATTGAATTAATTGAATTATTGAATTAATTGAATTAATTCAATTAATTCAATTAATTGAATTAATTCATTTATTTCCAAAGGGGGGGGGTGGGGGCTGGGGAATCCCCCCCATTTGGAAATAAATGAATTACTTGAATTAATTGAAATAATTGAATTAATTCAATTAATTAAATTAATTCCACCTCCCCTTTGGAAATAAATCAATTAATTGAATTAATTGAATTAATTCAATTATTTCAATTAATTCAAGTAATTCATTTATTTCCAAATGGGGGGTGGGGGCTGGGGCATCCTCCTCCCCCAATACTAAACCACGAGCCCGGGCCTCCCCCCAATACTAAATCACGAGCCCGGGCCCCCCCCCAATACTAAATTACGAGCCCGGGCCTTCCCGCAATACTAAATCACGAGCCCGGGCCTCCCCCCAATACTAAATCACGAGCCCGGGCTAAATCACGAGCCCGGGCCTCCAAATTACGAGGCCGGGCCTCCCCCCAATACTAAATCACGAGCCCGGGCCTCCCCCCAATACTAAATCACGAGCCCGGGCCTCCCGCAATACTAAATCACGAGCCCGGGCCTCCCCCCAATACTAATTTACGAGCCCGGGCCTCCTCCCAATACTAAATCACGAGCCCTCCTCCCCCCAATACTAGGGCACAGTTTTTGCTCCAAAAAGTGACATCGCAAGCCCTGGTCCCTAAGATTTTGAGCTCCCAAAGAGTAACATCGCAAGCCCTGGTCCCTAAGATTTTGGGCTCATTTCTTGCCCCAAAGAGTAACATCGCAAGCCCTGGTCCCTATTATTTGGGGCCCAGTTTTTGCTCCAAAGAGTCAAATCGCAAGCCCTGGTCCCTAAGATTTTGGACTCAGTTTTTTGCTCCAAAGCAAGCCCTGGTCCTTAAGATTTTGGGCTCATTTCTTGCTCCGAAGAGTCAAATCGCAAGCCCTGGTCCCGAAGATTTCGGGTTCAATTTTTGCTCCACAGAGTCAAACCGCAAGCCCTGGTCCCTAAGATTTGGGGCACAGTTTTTGCTCCAAAGGGTCAAATCGCAAGCCCTGCTCCCTAAGATTTTGGGCTCATTTCTTGCCCAAAAGAGTGACATCGCAAGCCCTGGTCCCTAAGATCTTGGGCCCAGTTGCTCCAAAGAGTCAAATCGCAAGCCCTGGTCCCTAAGATTTGGGGCCCAGTTTTTGCTCCAAAGAGTCAAATCGCAAGCCCTGGTCCCTAAGATTTTGGGTTCATTTTTTGCTCCAAGAGTGACATCGCAAGCCCTTGTCCCTAAGATTTTGGGCCCAGTTTTTGGTTCAAAGAGTCAAATCGCAAGCCCTGGTCCCTAAGATTTTGGGTTCAATTTTTGCTCCAAAGAGTCAAACCGCAAGCCCTGGTCCCTAAGATTTGGGGCCCAGTTTTTGCTCCAAAGAGTCAAATCGCAAACCCTGCTCCCTAAGATTTTGGGCCCAGTTTTTGCTCCAAAGAGTCAAATCGCAAGCCCTGGTCCCTAAGACTTTGGGTTCAATTTTGCTCCAAAGAGTGACATCGCAAGCCCTGGTCCCTAAGATTTGGGGCCCAGTTTTTGCGCCAAAGAGTAAAATCGCAAGCCCTGGTCCCTTAGATTTTTGGGTCGATTTTTGCTCCAAAGAGTCAAATCGCAAGCCCTGGTCCCTAAGTTTTCGGGGTCGATTTGTGCTCCACAGAGTCAAATCGCAAGCCCTGGTCCCTAAGATTTCGGGGTCGATTTGTGCTCCACGGAGTCAAATTGCAAGCCCTGGTCCCTAAGATTTTGGGCCCAGTATTTGCTCCAAAAGGTGAAATCGCAAGCCCCGGTCTTTAAGATTTTGGGCTCATTTCTTGCTCCAAAGAGTAACATCGCAAGCCCTGGTCCCTAAGATTTTGGAATCGATTTTTGCTCCAAAGAGTCAGATCGCAAGCCCTGGTCCTAAAATGTTGGGCTCAATTTTTGCTTTTCCCTTCTCTTCTGCTGATAAAACACAAGAAAGGAACTCATATGATAAAGCAGTGGAAAGGTAAGCAGAGGGTGACTCCTTGCGCGTGAGCCTTTCCATAATACTCCATCATATTCATCCTCTCGGCCTATCTCTTCTGTTCCTTTCCTTACTCTTCTCCTTCTCATAGTTCTTCCTTTTTGTTTTTCTCATTTCGAAAAGAAAGAGGGAAGGGAGAAACAAGGGAGAGAGAATAGATAAAGAAGAGTGCCATCTTCTCTGCGCCTTGTTTTGTCTCTCCCTCTTCTCTATTCATCTGTCTTCTATTCTCTTCCTTGCTCTTCCCATTAAATATGCAATCCTTGGTATCTCTCCTCTCTCCTTCTCTCTTCCTCCAACAGATGTGCTTTTGGATCGTTTTCTGCATCTTCAAGCGAGAAAAAAGGACACAGACTGCGATTAAAAGGGACGCCCATGTTGGATTGGCAGCAAGCCCAGCTGATGCTCATGATTCTCTCTCTTTCCCTACACATGGGCGATGGAACGGGTGTCCTTTTCAATCGTTTTCTGCATCTTCAAGAGAAACAGGGACACCCCACAAGAAGGAAAAGCAACATAAGAGATAGGGAGGGAAATTGACCCTTTCCTCTCTTCTTATCTGCTATTTTTCTTATTCGCTTCAAAAAGCAACATAAGGGAAAGGGGATTTCCTGAAGAGGAGAGAGGGAACCTATCTGTGAAAAGCAAGAATGGTTTTTTCTAGTTCGAAAGGGAATAGGGAGAGACAAGGGAGAGATGATATGTACAGCTTTGCGCCTTATTTTGTGATTCCGTCTCCTTGCTTCCTGTCTCTTCTATTCCTTGCAGCACGCTTCGGGAAACATAGCATCCTTGTTATCTTTCCTCTCTCACTTCCCTTTCCCTTCTCTTCTTCCGCTTCCTTTTAACTGATAAAACACAAGAAAGGAACTCATATGATAAAGCAGTGAAAAGGTAAGCAGAGGGTGACTCCTTGCGCGTGAGCCTTTCCATAATACTCCATCATATTCATCCTCTCGGCCTATCTCTTCTGTTCCTTTCCTTACTCTTCTCCTTCTCATAGTTCTTCCTTTTTGTTTTTCTCATTTCGAAAAGAAAGAGGGAAGGGAGAAACAAGGGAGAGAGAATAGATAAAGAAGAGCGCCATCTTCTCTATTCATCTGTCTTCTATTCTCTTCCTTGCTCTTCCCATTAAATATGCAATCCTTGGTATCTCTCCTCTCTCCTTCTCTCTTCCTCCAACAGATGTGCTTTTGGATCGTTTTCTGCATCTTCAAGCGAGAAAAAAGGACACAGAATGCGATTAAAAGGGACGCCCATGTTGGATTGGCAGCAAGCCCAGCTGATGCTCATGATTCTCTCTCTTTTTCCCTACATATGGGCGATGGAACGGGTGTCCTTTTCAATCGTTTTCTGCATCTTCAAGAGAAAAAGGGACACCCCACAAGAAGGAAAAGTAACATAAGAGATAGGGAGGGAAATTGAAGAACTCCTCATTGTACTTGGTCATTCCCTTTCCTCTCTTCTTATCTGCCCATTTTCTGTGCGCCTTGTTTTGTCTCCCCCTCTTCTCCCATCATCTCTCTTCTGGTCTTTTCTTTGCTCTTCCCATTAAAAATGCAACCCTTTTTATGTCTCCTCTCTCCTTCTCTCTCCCTCCTCTTCTCCTGTTCCCTTCTAAACGACAAAAACGCAAGAAAGGAAGAATAAGAGGGGAATGGAGGCCCTGTTCCTTTTCCTCTTTCAATGGATGGGGGAAGTGGGCGGAGTTGGCCCCTTGCCCGTACACCCTCCCCATGCTTCAGCAAACCCCTCCTCTCGCCCTATCGCCTCTGTTTTTTTCCTTGTGCCCAAACGGAAAACGAAAACGGGTTCCTTTATATGTTCATTGTCCTTCCTTTTGTTTTTTTATTTCACAGGGAAAAGAACCAGAGAAGAGGAAGATAAGAACGAGAGGTGAGATGAAAACGGCACCATCTTCTCTTTGCCTTATTTTTGCACCTCCCTCTCCTGTCTTAATTTCTCTTCCACTCTTTTTTCCATTGCTCTTCCCATAATATTGCATTCCTTTTGATAACTCACAGGAAATTAAAATGGCCTCCTTGTTGTCTCTCCTCTCTCACTTCCCTTTCCCTTCTCTCCTTCTGTTTCCTTTTAATTTTAACTGATAAAACACAAGAAAGGAGCTTGTAAAATCAAGCAGTGGAAGGGTAAGCAGAAGGTGACTCCTTGTGCGTGGACCTTTGCCGTACTTCACCATACCCCTCTTTTCGGCCTATCTCTTCGGCTCTTTTCCTAACCCTTCTTCTTTTCATCTTTCTTTTTGTTTTTCTCATTTCGAAAAGACAGAGGGAACGGAGAGATAAGGGAGAGAGGATAGATAAAGAAGAGTACCATCTTCTTTGCGCCTTGTTTTATCTCTCTTCTATTCTTTTCTTGGCTCTTCCCATGAAAATCGTGTTCCTCTTATCTTTCCCTCCTTCTCTCCCTTCTCTTCTCCTCACGAGAGCCTTCGACTTTAGGATTGAGGAGAAAAAGAGAAGAGAAAAGAGGAACTACCTGGTTCTTGTTCCTGAGGCCTCCATAGTACGACTGACGTGACAGCAGCGTACCCTCGTGGAAACGTGTATGGCTATAAGAAAACCCGAGTCCCAGCTTCCAAATAGACCCTATTTAAGCCACCCACGGGGGGGGGGCGTTTGAGTGACACGGAAACTATCCAAAACCATGCAGATTCGGACTGGGTGAACTGATTGGATTGAGCGCTGCGTTGGTGTCGGGCTGGCCTTCATCTTTGCCTTTGGCTTGGCTTCTTTGGCCACACGGTCATACGTCACCTGTGGGAGGCCACAGACCCTCGCGCTTTAACGGTCTGAGACTGTGGCAACCTTCTTGATCAAGTACAACGGCTAAGCTCAACAGCCTTCAGCACCGGAACCATCGCCTGACGCCCAGGCTTTCACTGGTAGGTTACTGTCTGCCAAAAACAGCGAGAAACTAAACTATACTAAACCTAAAACACACACATCTCGGTTTCGAAAGTGTGCAGGCAAAAAATGCGCCTGCAACAACACTGCACAAACCTCTTCGAAGGCGGCAAAGAGGTTCGACTGAGCGCAAGAGAGACCCGTACCCGCCATTACCCGCCATCACATCTTTGCTGCCGTTCATACACCCTTGTTACTGCTAGCGTGACGAAGGGTTCCTTGCTCGGACAGGCACCTCATCGAAAGAGCGGCCTTCACTGGCTTCTTGGGCAGCGATCTGGCCCAGCCTCAGAGATGCAGACGCGGCACCAGGCACCGCGGCAAAGGGCACCTTTTCTCAGTCTCCGATGTGTCCGATGCCTGTCCGAGCCGCAAGGTGCTGAGGGGCCGCTTGCTCGCCTGCGTGTGCACATCGAAAGGGTCCTCGTCCTCGAGGCTGCAGCACAATTTGCAACAAAACGCACAAATAATGATTCAATAATGACGCTCATTGTGCGAATGCAACAGACCCACAACAGCACAAACTCTCCTGTCCTTGAAAGCCGTGGACCTGTGAGAAGCCGACGCTCAGTACATCCCCACATCCGTACAGCGTCGGTGTGGTGAGTAACCGGCTAGGCCTCTGGCTTCTTATTGACAGAGTAGTTTGTTAAGTGCATGTAGACCTGAAGAGCTTCTTGGTGTCATGACAAGCTACAGCAAGGAAGTCACAACAACTGCAGGGCCTCGTTGGCGTTTGCAGCGGTGGGTTCTTCGTACTTTGCAGTGCAGAACCGCGCCAAGCCCTCCTCTGATTTCACACACGATAAACGACAAAAACAAAAAAGCCAACGGTGTGAAAAGACCTTCGTATGCCATGTGTCGCATTTATCGTCCATGCAAGGCCTTGCACAGGTAAGCATCTAGTGGATCCAGCGACGTAACCTGGACGGGGTGTTGAGAATGTGTTGAGAGGCTTCATTCAAGTGATTAAACATGGTTTTTCTGCCATGGCATCTGAAGCCAAAGGGCAACCACGTAGAGACGAAGGTCAAACTTCAAGCCATCCAGAAGCAACGGGGCAGGCAAATAGCGCTGGGCCAGGGCCTGTCGGATCCAGCTTTTCGGAGCAAGTGCTGTCGGAAGAGCAATTGGGGCTCAGACACCAAACCCGGCACCGAAGTGGGCCTGCGACACAGGGATATGCAGGGAACCTCTGCCAACACAGCAATTACTGTTGTAGGCCTTGGCAGAAAGCTTCAGCCGCAGACTGGACGAATCTTGAACGAGAAAGATGCCGTCACCTGGAGTGGCCATAAAAAGCCCTCGCTTCCGCAATTCTCACGCAAGGACCGCCAGGATTGTACCTTGCGAGCCACCCTCGGGCTTCACGATGACGGTGCTGCCCTGGCTGCTCTACGGTGCGAAGACGGCCCAAACTTATCCAAACTTGAAGCGCTTCTTCCAGAACTCTCTAAAATTCTCCAAAAAACTCCACCTCTCTCCTCTCCAGGCCTTGTGCTTGTCGAGCCAGTGGCAGAGCTCGTCACTTTCAGCGGGCAGGAGCCAACCTTTGCTCTGGCCAGCTATGGCCAGCAACCGCCCCTTTCCAAGGGACCCTCGACTGTTTTGCTTGCGAGGGGCTTCTGGGCCAAAAGCGAAACTTTTCTGGCCACAGCTTCTGCAGAAGACGGAGTGCCAGGGCCATGTTCACCTCGGTCCAAAGGCTTAAACAGGTCGTTGTATAGCCATCAGCCCAAAAAGGCACTATTTCCTGGGTCTTTGGTCATCTTTGGTCATGTGAGTCTGAACGTCTGACCTTACCGTTCGGAACACCACACGACCGTTCGGAACACCACACCGACTTGACCAAGCCGGCCCCTGGTGCCGGACGTAGCCTACAGCAGAGGTCTACAGAAGAGACCTCATCATCAGCCATTCAACGCTCAAGTCCTCAAGATGCGGGTCAATCTTGGCCCCAGGCTTTGTCACAGATGTAGCCGATCCCTGGAAACCGATTCACCTGAGCCATGCGATGCTTCGGCTCGGGCCCAGGCCTTTTTTTTCCGCATTTTTCATCAGCCCTTCGGCTCCATCACTGTCTTCTCGGAGTCTCTCACTTTCTGTCACAACATCTCGCCCTCACTCGCGTTCCGAACTGCTTCGACTTTACCTCGGCTACGGTTTATCCTGGGAAGTTGTTGAAGTCCCTGTTAGCGAAGTCCTCCCCTCCCTCTGTGGCTTCTACTCCCAGTGTGCCAAGCAACCCAGGCTGAGCTCGGAAGCCGTGGCACCTTTTCCTTGCACACATCGCATCGATCTGACAACAAGCCTTATATGAGCTCCGCTGTTGCAAATGTTATAACACTCAGTACAATCAGTACAACCCCCGGCTGAAGCCTGGCCGAGGCTCTGTCGCTCCGGGATGGCAAAGGCGCTGCAACAAAGCCTGGCCACTCCAGACCTTGGCTGCGCACGGCTGCGCATATGGAAAAAAAATTCCGGAGAAGACTCCCACACCGCACTAGCCATCAAAAGCCGAGCATGGCCGAGCAGCAAAGTAAATCTTAGCATTGCCAGAATTCTCCTCCACCTGCTCCCAGCAAGAGTCCTGCATCGACAGGTTTCCCGACTCAAGACTGTAATACTGTAAGCTCTCCACAAGTTGAATATATGGCTTCTGTCCTCTTAAACTGACTGCAATGAGGAATGCGAACCTAAAACAGATCGCGTCGAAAAAACTAACGTCGCGCTGCCACATCGAGCAGTCCTCCGCGCACACAATGTCCAGAAGTGGCTTGCACCCACGCCGCAGGCAAGCACTGGAGTTCACACGGATGGCTCCTTTCCTCCGCTTGCCGATGCTCGGTACATTGTAGTGCCAATACGGGCGGTGCCAATACAGGCAAGTCACTTCTTCCGAACCTTGCTTGGAGACGCCTCCGAGGCACCCCGAGCACCTGCACGTTGTACAGTGATGCAGTGATGCAGTGATGCAGTGATAGATACTGTGACACAGTGAATTAAGCGAATCTCGCGGCGGAACCTGCACTTGTACCAGCCGTCTCATTCTCCCGTCTTTTCTGGACAAGATGTCGAATGATCCACCTGACTCTTGACATCTCTTGGCGACATTCGCCAGCTGTCCATACTTCTCACAAGCCGTACCCACCGTGAGCTGTACAGAGGTCACAAGGTCACTCTCCAATTTCCCGTGAAATTTCAGAGTTCAGAGTGGGACTTCAGGTGCCCGGCTGGTAGGGGTCCGTGGGCTCGGTGGCCGCCAGCTGCCGCACCAGCTCCGGCAACAGCTCATGCAGTCCATGCGCCTCTCAGCCGACTCAGCTCTCTTCTTGAGTCTTGGCCCCCATTCTCTGGAGCTCCTAAGCGCAAATCGTTGCCCTGGCGATCCGAGCCGAAGCTCCTTAAGGCTCAAGTTGCCTCCGAAGCCTCCCCAAGCCAGCAAAGCCAATTTTGAAACCTCAACTTCCAGTCATAAAGGCGGCCTTGAAGTACGGGCTCCAAGCCTCAACGAATCCAGACTTGCAGCAGAGTACAGAGGTAGACGCCGAACAATCAGGATGCTCGCGAGAGCACTTCACACGAAACCATGTCCGGGACCTCTTCCACTGCAACACCATCAGTTGCAGAAGAATGTCCTCTCATGCCACGGTGATTCCGGTCATGTTGCAGTACTTTCAGCAGGAAGCAATCCAACATTCTGCCACACGCAGAACACGGCCCGATACCGGACAGCAAAAGCCAGCGTGCCCGCAAAGCCCTCTCCTGCAGCACCTTCACATGCTGCCGTCCGCAGCACCTTTGCAATCGGGCGGAGCTGTTTCTTGCGAACTTGTTTTCGCGATTCCTTTCTGTTTGTCCATGTCGTCCTTGGCTTTTCCGAGGAAAACCTCTGTTCTCTCCGTATGTTATAGGATTCCTGCTAATCATCATGGGATTCTTGTTGGCTTTAATAAAACTCCGATTGCTTCCAACTGACATTCGTACGAATTTTGGGTCTTTTTGCTCCTCCATAGTAATAGGTTGGATTGAGGAAGAATTGCTCCACGTAGGTGGAGGCTTCGACCGTAATCGTGGAGGACCAGTTGCAACATTTTCTCGGGAGCAGAAGGTCATTGGTAGCTCATAGATGAAAAAAAGAAACCTGCACATTTGCAACCCTGGGGCCTTCAGCGGCGCTCAGGCGGGCAGCTACGGTTAAGGGGCGGGTCTCCACCCAGTGTCTCGGTCTCCGTCGAATGGCTCTCTTCAGCATGTTTTCGGCTTCGTTCGGGCAGCAACTGGTCGTTTTCTGCCACAAACTTCTCGGCATTCCGCTGGCGACCCCCGGAGGCCCCGGCTTGTCGTGGCCTAGCTTTCGACCGGATTGTTCACCCAAAGCTTCCTGATGCGGGCACCCAAACGGGTCATATGGTTCCAACTTGAAAGTAGGGTTTGTAGGGCTTTGGAATTTGGGTTCCTACATTTCATCCGGCAGGCTCCGAAAGGAAAACTTGACAGCACCTGCAGTGCGAGGTCGACAGCTTGAGACGGAGGTCCTTCAGCTATCAACAGAATTTCCATGAATTTCCTCTATCTCAAGCACTCATGAACTCGCCCTCGACACGGAACCCAACGTAGAAACCGCAACATCATCTCTCTCACTCTCGTTCCACAACCTTGTTCATGCACTTTCTCGTCACTCCTTGAGACCCTTCGATCCTTTTCCAATCGGCTCTGGCGAGGTTACTTGTGTTCACCATCTTACCCAACAACTTTGATGTCGACTTACGAATTCCTCGGCACAGACAAGATTGTTGCAATTAAGAACCAAAACAAGCTGCTCAAGAGCTTCCCTGACAGAAGCAATCAGCAAGGCCATCGTTTAAACTACACGCGGCACCTTCACTGCATCCGCCCCAGACCCCGAGGCAGTCTCGGGTTTGGGTGACGACGGTGATGCAGGCGACCTTGGCCAACGAGCTAAGCACAGTTGGCGACCGCATGCCAGCGACCGCATGCGACCGCAATGGGTGACATGAAACACGGATAAACACGGGCCAGCGGCGAAGGCGTGACAGGCAAGCCTGGAGGCTCATCCATGGCGAAGAGATGCGAACAGACACCTCACCTGCATCTGCCCTGCGTTCGCGGTCGAGGCCTGTAATGCATTGTAAAGCATATTGCCAGTGTAGATCTGCAGGCTTCGGAAATTTATGCGATGCTCTTAGCTCGGGCCAGTAAGAGAGGCGTCTCGTCACCAACCCATGCAAAAAAATTAGGCAGCACACGTCGAAACAGCAAAGATGCACTCTAGGAAGGAGGACCCTCGAAAAACCCATTTCTGACGGAATGGATTTCCAAGAAGGTGCCACTACTTTCCCAGCCCTGCAGAAGCTGTGATCCAGCGCATGTCCGAATCCATAGAGCCTGACAAGAGAAGGTGTGCACGGACAGGAGGACACAGCATGAGGTGCACGGTGCCCTATCGCATCATGTCAAAGTAGCACTCTGTGGCGCAATGTCACTTGGGAAAGCTTCGTGTGCAGCAACGAAGTACTTCAACAGAGAGGCAGAAGAGAGCACAACGTACTTATCTTACCAGGTATGACCCGAGCATGTTGTCGCAAAGAGCCGTCCTTCCAAGCGTTGCCACACCGCCAGGCGAGCGGCCCCGGCGCACATCGCACGGAGACTGGAAGGCGGAGCTCCAGCCTGGGAAATCACAGAAAAACACAGGCGATGCTGCATGGTCAGTTCTCTGAATTATGGTTCTTTTTGAGTACCTTAAATAAGAAGGGCCGCCTTATAATAAGGAGCCCAAAAGGGACCATACTTTAGAGAAGTGAACACATGCACCCCGCAGCGTCCTCCTGAAGCGCGCAGGTAGACAGCTCCAGAAGCCGCGTTGCTGCACCGCCACCAAGGAGATGTCGGGCCGCTTCCTCGGCCGGCGCGCCCATGGTGCGCCATACGTATCATACGTACACATGTATGTGTATATGTGTGCGCAGATTGTCCCAGTACCGGTGTCTGCGCCGCGCTGCACCCGACGGCTGGGGGCTGCAGCTGGGCCTCGGACCGTTACGGCCGAGTTGCCAGAGCCTGGTGGCACTCACAGACTCACTGTGTCACCCCCGGCCCGGCCGAGCACTCATCTCCGCTGCCCCGAGCACCCAGCCATTGTTCACAACCAGTCCAGACAAACCTTGCAACCTCGCGACACGGATCAACGCATCACCGCTGTGCTACAAGCAGAAGCCATGTCCCCCGCAACAGCGCCACGTCACAAGGTCTCAAAGCCATGGCAATCCTTACAGGCGACATTTCAAGCTGCTCCTATGCAGGAAGACTGAGTCGAGAAACCGGACTTCTGCTGCACAACAGAAAGAGCCATTTGCAGCTAGGCTCTTCCACCCAGCCAGTGGCCCCGATCTCGGCACAAGTAAGGAAGTGGAAGCTCAGCAATGCACGAAAATTGCAGGAAACAAATGATGATACTGAAGGATGGGCAGGCAGGGGCGGGGGGGGAGGGGGGGGCAAGAGGGAACTGAAGGAAAAGGAGGCTCGGGATCCGGGCACTAGAGCCTCAAGCGCCGCTGCCGCGGACGTCGGCGCCAGCCCCTGGAGCGATCCGACGCCTCAACGCAAAAGCCCGTTTACTGCCCATTTGACAAATGAAGTTGGAATAGTCCATTGGTCCATAAGTGTGACCGAAACCTTCGGGAACTTCGGGGTAACGGTGTAATTCGCATCTTGCTGCGCTCGGCTCTCGACTTTTGACTGCAGAGCAGGCCTGCATCTCTGAAGATGCTGAAAACCATCGACACAGCTGTGCTAAGCTTCGTTCAGCTGCGTTAAGCTGCCAGTGGCATTGCGATCTGCGACTGTGCAGATGCTTGCAGCCTCGGCCAACTTTAGACTGCGAGAACTTCGCACTCGCTCGATGAGCTCGTCCAGCAGAGCCTTGACCTCGATGACTCGATATGATATGCTGACTCGAAGATATGAGCAAAGCGAAGCATCCTGCAACTGATATAAGCTATGCTCAGACTGCTAGACCGTGCCAAACTCCAAATACGGAGTGGAGTTAGTCGAGGTGGAAGGCCCTCCCTTTGGGACCCCTGCGAAGTGCTGCGCGCGGCTGTGGCTTCGGTGTCGTCGCCTCAGGGTGAAGAAGCTCCGCCCGCAGGCCACCCCGGTGACGACTACGGGGTGACCTCATTCCCTAAGCCCCGACATCGCTCGCAATGTGCGCACAGGGACAAAAAAATTCGGGTGAGGGTCGAATCAGAAAAACGAGTCGAAAACGCCAAAGACCGAGTCAGAAAACGGAAAGCCGAGTCAGGAGACGCGAGTCAGAAAACAAGACAGTGAGTCAACAAACGGCCCCAGGCACAGAATGGTTAGCCTCTACAACGAAACGTAAGGCTTGCCAAGCAGCCGTCTATCCCTTCTTGGATAGGTACCTACTTTGTAGGGGTCTATCGGGACATGTATAGACCCTCAGCCCTACCCGTCTATCCTCAAAAAAGAAAAACCCCTATCTGATCATCTACAGGGTCCACCGAAACCGATAGATACCTGGCATAGGCACCTCCCATGGGTAGGATAGGGTCCTATACATAAGGGGGGCGGCTCTGACACAGACCCTGTTGTGACCCTATGGACCCGCTTCGTTTTCAGACAGGTCCCCGTGCACGTCAAGCCCGCGCTTGTTAAGCCGTGCAAGCTTGCTTCAGGCATTTCTTCTTCCAAATGGGGGGCAGGGGGGGTTTGCAAATGGGGTAGGCTCCCCCACCAACCCCACTCCCCTCCCCGACTTTTCGATCCGCCATAGACCCCGATCCCTTTCAGATAGGCCCCTATGCCTAAAAACCCCCTAATTCAGCCCGAAACCCTAAAACCCCCTAAACCCTAATACCCGAAACCCTGAACCCGAACAACCAAACCCTAAACCCTAACAACCCCTAACCCTAAACCCTAAACCGCCGAAACCCTAAACCCAAAAAAGCCCCTAAACTCTAAAGCCTAAAACCCCCTCAGCCCGAAATCGAAAAAAAAAACCTAAAAAATCCTAAACTGCAAACCCACAAAACCCTAAACCCTAAACGGCCCTAAACCCTAAAAAAACCCGAAAGATCCGACAAACCCCTAAACCCTCGAACCGCATGGGAAGGCTCTTTTTTCTGGCAGGGCTTCAGAGTGTTTTCGACTCACGTTTCTGGGGGTGTTGTCTGTCGGGGCATCCCGTTTGCGACTCAGGGGTCAGCCCTGTTCTTTGACTCGGACTCATGAGCACTTTTTCCGACTTGACCCTCACTCCCGATTGCGCGAAGGGCCTTTAAAGCGAAAGTGCAGTTGTGCAGGTTGAACAGCTGTCCAGAAGCTTTATAAAGGGAGCGCATGGCACGGAGTCGCTCCAAGGAGCTCCGACAAGAAGAAAGGCATAGAAGGCTTGGTGCTCAGCGGCCACTGACCAGTCGCCAGTGTCAGCGCCCTCTGCCTCGCAATATAGGTGAGCAGCCGCATGAAGCATGCACGACATACACACAATCCCATCACAAGGACCATTGTAACATTGTCAGATATGACATATGGCTGACACTTGGCAGCCCCACGCGGCTGGGTCATCACTGTTGCCTCCGGCCAGCAGACCTGCACCTGTGATGCTTGAAAACTACTTGCACATGCCCGCGAGTCGCTGCAGCTTTCGTAGCAAATGTCATTCTTGCGATAACTACACAAAACTGCAGAGTAGTAATCACAGCAGGCCGCGCCATCAACAGCTGCATAGCGAAGAGCCTGGTAGGACGTTTAAGTTGGAAGCCGACCGTGAGGCAGACTTGTCGCATAAAAAGCTTTCTGCCGAGGTTCCAGGACAAGCTGTCGAGTGCCCAAGCGTGACAATCGCCGTTGGTAGCCTGGGAAAATCTGACTTCCCTGAGGTTATGTCACAAAGACAAAGCCAAAGTCGGGCAGCCCGCTTTCTGGAGATATGTGCCAGAGAACCGGAACCTGAAACTGGAGTGACATAGTGATGTCTCCTTGAACAACACGACATCTCGCGACAAGCTTCGAGTTCAAAAGGTCGGCAGCTTAGCCAGCGGCCGGCGGCGATTTCTGGTACATCGGCCTCAGGAAGGCTGACATCGGTTTGCGTTTCAAATTTTCAAATTCAAAAACCAAGCGAAGAGGTTCTACTAGCAGCAAGATCCGGCACGTGCTCATCTTGTTGGAATATGGTGAGAGAGGAAGAGACGTGCTGAGCTCCTCGCGGGGTCATGTTCGATGGTCGCTGCAGAGCGGAGCTGCACGGGAGGCTGAACAATGCGTTGCCAAGTCTCCACTCGCACTGAATCTCACGGTGTCTCACATGACGCTGCTGCAGTTTTTGGACATGAAAAGTCAACAAAAATCAAAGTTGCTTCGCACAATTTCGCACAACTTCGCCCCTCACCTCCCGCCAACAAAAATCACGTCGGACGCCAGCACCTCGGGCTCCTGCATCTCCTGCACACGCGCTCTCACGGACTCTCAGGGGCTCTCACAGGCTCTCACAGGCTAGGTCCCCCCGTACTTGCTTTCTCTTCCTTCCTCTCTCTCGCTCTCTCTATCTCTCTCTCTCTCTCTCTCTCTCTCCCCATCTTGCTATTCCCGCTTCGTCTCGATGCTCGGGCACCCCCCGCGCCCAGAGTTTTTGCTGCCACTCTTTGGTCATCTAGCGTCTCTTTGAGACCTTCCGACATGGCGCATGCGCTCGCCATGTTTCCGGCGAGGTGAGCCCTGAACTCACGTGGGAGATGAATCGCAGAGCGTGTGCGGGGAGAGTGAGGGCGGCAGGAATCCCTTCACACCAGAGGTGGCCCATGATACCAATGACATACTACTTTACTTCCATGCGTCTGCACGCCCAGACGTGGATGCTGAAAATTCATGCTGACGCCCTTTCAGGAGCTAAGTCATGTTCAAACACAGCAATGACGCAGCAGAGACACCATCTGCTCGAAGCTGCCAAAAAAGCTACGGGAGATGCTTCCTGCCGGAAAATCGCTATGAACGAGGGAGCTGTCTTGAACCATCCTGAACCTATACTCGAAAGTGTGGACTCACAGCGAAGCCAAGATGGGCTTGGAGTCAGGAGGCTCCAATAACCAATTGTCCCTCGTCCTCGAGGTCCTGGGCGCAAGCTGACCTTCGACGCAGAATCGGAGCATGTTGAGCGCACAAGCGAACTCACAGCTGCCTAAGGTCCTAAGGCACTCCTAAAGCCAAGCTACAAGATCGTCTTCATGGCAGCTTGCTCCTGAAACATCTGAAGCAAGTGGGGCAGAGAGGGAGGTGTTGGGAGTTCAAAGGGAGTAAGCTCAGACTCCCACCTGGCTTCTCGGAGCCTTCGGATAGCCGATGTGCTGCAGCTGCTCGGCAGCAGCCACCATGCAGGCACCCAGGTCGTTCTGCGATTCGGGCGCGCTCGGCGCAGCCTCAGCCTCCGCTGGCTCCTCCACCGGCCCCGGCCTTACCAAACGGGGGGGGGGGGGGCGCGCAGGAGGGCAACACGCATCTCGTTTCATGGTTGAATCATCTCTGCTGTCCCAGCATCTTCGCCGACCAGGTCAGTGACAGGCCGACAGCCATCGCGCAAACTTGCAAGGCTGCCGCCAGCGCAGCAGTGCAAGACCCGCGGTGCTGGAGCATCGTAGGAAAGAGCCTCTGCAAGGCAATCTAGTTCATACCATGCTTTCTTGTGAAGAGGTTTGGCTTTGGGACACTTTCGGGGGAGCTTGGGGGAGCTTGCAAAGAAGAGGTAAAGCAGATCAGCAAGCCAAGTTCTGTCCAGAAGCCCCTGGTGTCCCAAAACCACTAGTGCCGGGCTTGGGATGACGCAAAGCACGGTGGCCACCCGCGCAGCTTCGGCATCTGCAGGTCCCTTCTCGGAGACAGCCCCGACCTCCTCCCTGCAGTGTGAAAGTGTGTCAGGCTGTGTTGCACTTGAAGTTGGGCGGTAAGCTGGCAACCCTCGCATGATTGCGGCAACGTTGCAGGATGCGCCGAGCTGTGTTCAATGCTGCCAGCGGGCCCTTCAGCAGCAACTCCTGGCATCGCTTGTCAGCCCCCGTGATGTCACTTCTTAACGATCCTTGCATCTGCCCCCATTCGGTTAAGAACAGAAAGGAGAGTGCACTGGTAAAGGTCCCGCTGCTGCTCTGCTCGTACGTATCCAGAAAGGTCTCGAAGTCCGGAGGCTTGTCCTGCTCTCCAACTGGCAAAACTAAAGAGCAGGCGGCCGTGCAAAAGCCACTTGCAAGCCCACTTACAACTACCTGGCAACAGCTCCAGGAGCCCGTGAGCCATCCTTGGAGGATGGGCACCACCTTCAGCTCAGACGTCTTGTTGAGCTGCGCTCCCTGAGGTGCAGCCGAGATCGACTGCTTACCAAAAAGTTCACAACACCACGTTCCAAAAACTCACCAACATTCATAATGCGAGCACTGGAAATGGAGCGTCCTTCCAGAGGTGCTTCCACAGCTCCTGTGCAAGGGACTGCACATTCACCCCTAAGAAACGTGGATTTCGACCACACCCATAGAGGCCCAGAGGCCTCAGACCCCGAGTTGCTCTTGTCACTGCGATGCTCCATTGATACCCTTCATCAACACAAGAAGAACTGCAGACGAGAATTTACTTGTGAGGAGTTATCTTTCATCCCAACGATCTTACTCCACGTTTCGCTTGTCCCTTTAGCACCATTCCCTGACAATTTTGCATTATCTCGGAAGTTTCTTCATATAGAAAGTATAACAAGTTGACCAACAATCCAAATGGAAAGGCCGTTACTACTCATCAAAGGGCTTAACATGGGTCACATCGAATAAGGGAATTCCGTGAGTCACGCCTCCATAACGAACGCCAGCTGCACACCTCCACCATATTGCAACAGAAACCACGGCTCAGCCAAAGCCATTCCCAAGGCGACCTTGCAGTGTCTGCAGAGCGAGCAGAGTGTGCAGAGAATGTGCAGATGTGGCAAAAGAGTCCTGCACATTCCAAATACAGAACTCTGTCGTGCAAGTACCCCCAAACAAGCAAAGCACAAGCGGAGGCCAACAGGACAACCTCCGTAAACTCACATCGGCAGAAAGTGCCACATTTCAAACCTGACTGACCCCAGCCAGCCGATTCCTTCGGCAGCTCTGAGCAAACGATATCAAAGGCACGCCAGCTTTGCCGCACTCGCACAGGCGCAAGAGAAGCATCCTGCGCGGAGCACACGATTGAACAATCCCCAGCAATCCTTCCAAGAAGTCCAAAAACACTCAAAACATCTCAAAACACTCCCGCATGGGGTCATATGGGGTCCTGGACAGGTGTTCACTTAGCACGCCTGCTTCAGTGAGAGTCAACCAAGCCCTTATGCAGCGATGAGTGTCTACCCGAGTCTTCAGGGAGCCATCATCGTTCAAAGGCCGCACGGAACGCAGCAGCTTCAGGAGATCGGCATCCTTCATGATTTTGGCCTTGGCCAATAGCTCGTCATCCCAGATGCCAGCTCCCCACTGTGAGTTCCGCAGCAGGCCAACATTGATGTCGACTTGCTCTGCTGGATAATCCCACGGAACGCCTTGAAGAAACGTGCGGCCTTCCTTCAAGACCTTCCGGAAGTGCAGGAGGTGGCGGAGCAGCTTCTTGCAAGTGGCAACAAGGTCTGTACTGGCCAGCGCAGGATCCGAGAGGGCCACGGCACAAAGCTTCTGCAGACGCTCGGCGTCTCCCTTTTGCAGGGCCTGGAGTAGCTGCTCGCGCCGATCCTCTGATCTGGCGCGCTGGCCCGTCTGTTCGAAGCACACGATGTCGGGAAAGCCTGCCAGTACAAAACTCAAAAAACACATCGAATCAAGCTGTCTGTCAGCTGCTGGGATCTCAGGAAGTACCGCTCCTGCTTTGACAAAGTCGATGTGCCGCAAGAGGGCTCGACGCTGCTTCGGATCGCGCTTTGCATCCCAGCGTGGCAGCCCACCATGGGAGGCACTCTTACGCATGCTGCTTGCGGCTTGCGGATGATCATATGCCATTTTGCATGGTTTGGTCGTTGTGAGTCATTGGCTCATGCTGATTGTGCTGGATCATACGTGTTCGATGCTTCATGCTTCGTGGGTCGCACTTTCCAACGTGCGGCCAACGGTGCTCCGACTGTGCTCCAACTGTCCTCCAACCGTGTTCCCGACAAACGTCCCGTGCTCTCCCGTCGTGTCATGCACACGGCTCGTGCCGAAAACCAACACACAAGGACACCGTGTGCCAGCATGAGCCAACACATGTCAGTCTGAACTCTTCAACTCCGAAATCACTGGACTCGTGCCCTCCACCCCTTGGGCCTCCTTAGCTGATGGCAGCAGGTCCACCACAAGCCTGTTGGAAGGCCTGTATGGAGCGCTGATGGCAACAAACATCGCCCCCGTCACATCCCGTCACTACTTCAGATTTTGGCGCGACAGCCATACTGACCAGAGTTCCCGCCTTGCCAACGGGATGCATTCGGAGACCCACAGGGGCACCTGCTCCTGCAAAAACTGCGCACTCTAAACTCCCATCAGAAAAAGGGCCACTTCTGAGACCCGCGATGACCCGCAATAACCCGCAATGACCCGCAATAACCCGCAATGATGCAATGACCCGCAGTGAACTGCAATCAATCGCCCGTGGCCCGCATGCCCGTTCAATCTGCTCTAGCCCACAGTCTGACCGTGGAGTTTGAAAGGGAGCAACAGCGTTTTTGTTGATGCGAGAAGGCACGACAGTGATGCTGACGATGAAGACGACAGCGAGGAAGCCTGTCCGTCTTCTGCTGTGCGCTCAAAGGGATTGAGGACAGTTCGACGCAGAGTGGGACGAACTCGTGAAGGGTCACGGGCAGAGCCCCGTGCAGAGCCCACACTGGGAGAACCTGAGATGGAAGACACCCAGCGTGAAGGGCCAACCAACATGGCCAACTTCAGAACGACACGCATTTGAAAGCTATCTGCAATTCAAAACAGCGGACGTTCCTGTGCCTGAAGAACAGGACTCGTCTGCAATCATTAGCACAGTTTGATATTCCCGAATATGTGTCAAAAGCGTACAACGAGTTCCGAGCTTTCACAGGGTGTTTCCTGGCCACTTGCCCCGATCTGCGCACAATACAACCACGCATCCAAAACAGGATTTGAAGAGTTGACAGTTCTGGAGCTCCACCAGGACGTAATTAGCGCAAGAAAGCACTTGAATGCACTTGATCTAGGGGAGTTTCTCGGTCGAGGGTCGACAGCATCAGGATGTCACCCAAGTCGGAAACTCGATCGCCCGCACTGCCACAAACAGCTTCAATCAGATCTTGTCATTTTTGACGTCGCATGCTCGCTTTCGTCGTTCGTCCGGCCTGTGCAGGACATGGCGCTGATGTTTATGCCCCGCTCGAGGCCAAACCTTTGCATCCGATGCTGCAGGGCAGACGGGACGATGACCACAACACGCACACACCCAGCACACACAGAGCGCAGGGGAATCTCCCAGACTAGAAGACGACATGACATATCTGTTCAACCTTCAGGATACCTATTAAGCGGCAAACAACTGCATTGCTGACACTGAACCTGGCAGGTACGTGGGAGAGATCACTCCCATGTCACTGCAATGTGGCCGTCGTCGTTGGCACAAGAACCAGAGAATGCACCCGTGCCCCCTGCTTCGATCCTTGCGAAACCCTAAGCTTGGAATCAGGGCGTACACACACAGAGACCAATTTGATGAAGGACAGCTGTTGCGTGGAATACACTGAGGGAAAGTCAGGGGTCTGCTCCAAGCCACACGCGACTTGGAGCCTCTCGATCATGCTCAATCGTGCCAGCCTTCTCAACCCCTCTGCGCATTGGAGCATCTCTGCCAATCTCTGCGCTTGCACGACATCATAAGGGCGGCCAAAAAGGCTCTCGCACAAAAGAATCTTGTTTTGCACCCGGGGTATTCGGGGGAGTCACACGATGCTGTGCGCAGGAAGCACCGCTGTGGGCTCATCAGGGCACACACACCAAGCCAAGCCAATCTAAGCGCCGGTCCTGTATCTGAAAGAGGCGGGCCTCCTGCAAGTGAACCCAACGTGCTCGCATGCGATCGCAACATCCCATGGCCATCTGAGCCCACCGCCTCCTCGTCCGACAGGAAACACTCTCGCAGCGCCTTGCCAGCCTTGGCACTCGGATCCACGAACACTTGATTCAGTGGTCAATCCCCATGCCACCATCCAGTCGACGAAGTCCGTACGACAGTACATGCAATATTGGCTGTGGCTCTGAATAGGGGTATGTCGCGGTATCCCGCCACCCGCCTGTGTTACATACGTATGTCGCGCCCACTTGTTTCATACGTATGTCGCGGGGTTTGTTGCGGCTGTTTCGCGCTGTCTTGAAAACGAGATACGAAACCCATGCAGTTCCAAGAACGGGCTTGTCGCAAAGGCTTGTCGCGGAGGCTTGTCGCGGAGGTTTGTCGCGGACTGCTTGTCGCAAGCAGAACGGCTTTGTTACAAACCCTATGTCGCGGAAAGACGCCCGGGAGCCAGTTACATACCTAGACTTTTGAGCCGCATATCATGCAATATCATGCAATATCATGCAATATCATGAAATATCATGCAATATCATGCAATATCATGCAATATCATGCAATATCATGCAAGATCATGCAATATCATGCAATCTTGCAATGTGGTGCAATTGACCCGCAGTGTGCCAACTCGAGAAGCCGGCATGCTCCCAGACCGCCACATGGTCGTGATCGACCAGGCCATGCTCCGCGTAGTACTCCAGCCTGGCATATTGTTCATGTCGCATTGGATCAAGATATGGCGCTCTTAGGTCCACGTTGTCTATGGCCGCAATCTCAGCCGGCGACCAAGAGATCACCAAAACTGCCGGTGCGCTCTCCAAGGCAGCTGGGAGGCGGCGGGCCAATGCCTCAACGACCCCCCCTGATGGCCCCACACCCGCTGCGAGTTCTGGCGATCATCCGCGATCCCCTGCCATCCCCTGCGAACCTGGTGAAGGCGACCCGCAAAGAGCTGCGAAGCACGCGGCTTGGAAATGGCCAATTGTAACCTAAGACTGAGCAACGAAGGATCCTCGAGGACTAGTCGGCAAGGGTGCCCCGTTTCCAAATGGCACCAAATCACCACGTACGGTTGCGTACCACAAACGCGTACTTCATGATGTTTCATGGCACCTCCATGCATGAAACCATGAAGCCAAGCCCCAAACTGAAGCACCTTGCAGCCTGGCGGGTTGATATCTTGACTTTCCTTGCCAAACGCCCATTGACCACCAGCCTGTGTTGTAGCTGTAGCTGCTACGAGTATGGCAGGAATGCTGCCATGCCCCTGGCAACAACATCCTACAACATGACGGCCAGGCATCTGAGAAGGAGCGGAAGTGCCAGGTGAGCCTCCTGCGCATGAGCAGGCACGGACATGCCGAAACGACAAGAACATTTATTGCCAGGGGGTATTTGCAGCTGATTGACTCTACAGGCAAATCCGAACAGCTCAGCAGCAGCCCACGACCAGCCCTGGAATGAGGCATGCAGGCAAGATGTAAAGCAAGCAGGAGTCACACGGTGACATTTTTGTTTGCCTGATCCGGCATTCTGCCATCTGAGCCGTGTCGCAAGCGCTTACACCCTCTACAGATTGCACGACGGCCTGCATGGTAATTTGTACACGATTCTTCGAGCGACGTTACTCTCACGGGCACCAGGGTGACTGCATTGTGTTCGGTGCTGTGTGTGTTACATTGTGTTCTACCAGGGTCTGAGCTAACATGTTAAGCATTCATGCGCAAAGTCTGGTCTCGTCTGCCCGAAGGTGCTGGGTGGCCGGAGGTCAGAAGAGGAAACGTACTCGCCAAGGCAGCGCAAGGTGGCTCGGCTCGTTTGAGCACCTGAAAAGGATTGGCTTGCTTTCTCGTTTGTGTACCTAGTGAGCCTATGTACCATGTCGCAAAAGTGCTGCATATTGCGATGAACTAGCGGCTAGTGGCCATGAGTCACTACTGCAGTAAGGCCAGCACGCGCTTGGCCAGCATCAGACAAAAACGTCTAGGCTGTCAGAGCCTGAAAGTCAAAATGTTTATCCGGCATACCACTGGGACTTTCGGCCGTCCGTCCCGCCTCGGTCTTGTTTTTTTGCTCACCAAGGAACTTGATTACTTGCTCCAAGTTCTCGATCCAATGCGATAACCTGCAAGCCGAAGGATGCTCTCTTGCCACCTTCGCACATCCCGCATGCGCTTCAATGAACTGCGGCCGTGGCTTGGAATCCAAGAAGTTCCACTCCTGAACTTTGCAGAACTGTCGGTCTTTCAAGCCTCTTGGGAACCTTGCCCCCTCCGTGTCCTCCTTCTCAAACTTGCGCAAGAAGGCTGATTTCACGAGCACCTGAACAAAATCCATGCTCAGGTTCCGACTTCCAGTCTGCAAGATGATGCCGATGACGTAAGTGCTTAAGTACATGGACTCATGCCATCACGCCTTCCGGTTCAGCTGGTCAATGCGGCCGTCAATGACTCCCTCCGAGATCGCCCGAACCACCCAAGGCTCAACTGCCGTGGGGCTCTCCTGGAGAAGATGTGCAAAATTGTGCAAAGAGAATCCTACGCTGGCCACTGGCCCCTAAGCTCCTGGATGCGCTTTGCGATGTCGTCTAAAGGAAGTTCCGACCTAAGCATCCATCATGAGTGACTCATGTCTAGGTTCTCGTAGTTCTGCAGAATTGGGACACTGGCTGTCCCCGAGCCATGGTGGCCAAGGTCAGAAGTCTAATCTTGGACATCGCGTCCTTCCAAGCTGCATTCAACTCTCATTCAACCAGAAACTGTGAGCCTGTGCCTCTTCTGTCTGTGTTCCATGATGTGGCGCTGCGTCTTTGGAAGAAAGAATGCTGCTATGATCTGCCTGAAAGTTCAGGGAATGCTCGTCGAAGAGCTTTTCGTTCTTCTTGTGGAAGTCCTGCAGGAAGCGTTGGCAAATTCACAGGCAGAATTGAAACAAGCCTTGGCACATTTTTTGTTCATCTGCATGTCCTTGAGGTCATCTACAGAACCAGACCTTGGAAACAATCTTGGAGCGTCATGGAAGAAAGGAAATCTCCGCACTGCCTGGGTCAGATGCAAGAAGATTTCGCACAAGCCCACAAGGTTTCCCTGCGAGGTGCTCCGCAAGGCCTCCGACATGCGGGACATGGACCACACATGTATTCAACAGCGTTCCTTCAAAAGCTTGCCTTGACCGAGTCCAGCATCAAAATGTCGTCGAACTGAATCACAGCTGGGAGCATCACTGCATCCTGGACTGGACAAACATTTCGATTGAGGTGCTAAACTCTCAATCCTCGCATAACCAGCTGCATGATCCCTGCGCACGGATGTCCTTGATCAGCTGGATGGTCTGTTCAACGACCTGGAGATTATGACTTCAGGCGTGTCCTGCGGAAGGGACCTCGATATACCAGTACTAGTACTGAGGTGACCCTGCTCGAACAGAGATCTGAGTACTGCAATGGAACTGGACTTCCGAAACGTGCTTTCAGTAATCTTCAGAGATGGAATCCAACAGCCGGCCTCTGGTTTGGTCAGGGCCTCCGAAGCCGCGCCCTGGAAGAGGCCATGGTACCTCAAATGGGTGCGGGAAGGCGAGTCTCCAAAACGAAATGGGCCGTCTAAAAACGGGCAGGCGCAAGTCCGAAAACGGCATGGGCACGAGTCAGAAAACAGGACAGCGAACCAGAAAGCGATCGCAAAAAAAGGAGTACGCCAGAAGCCATAGAAGCTTAAAACCCTGAAACGTCAAAGCCCCAGGTCACCTTTCAAGTTGACCCTGAACCTTGCAGGCCCGAGCACACCTAAACACTAAACCCTAACTACCCGGAACCCAAAAATCCCGAACCTTGAAAACTAAAATCCCTAAAATCCCGAAAATCTCTAAATCGCTAAAATCCCTAACTCATAGAATCCCCAAACAAACCCCATCCCTGAACTCAACAATGCCTGAACCCTAAACCCTAAAAAAACCTAAACCCTAAAATCCCTGATAACCCCTAAACATCCCAAAGCCTGTAAACCCAAAACTCTGAACCTTGCAACACCTAAATCCAAAAATACAGAAACCCTGAAACCCGAAAACCTAACAAACCTGAATGCCCCCCCGCCCCCGCTAGAAACTAAAATCCCTGCACTGAAACCTCTGAACCCTACAACCCCGAAGCCCTATAAGCTCTAAACCCTGAAACCCCTAAAGCCTACAAACCCTACACCCCAAAAGTTTCAGAACCCTCTAACCCCTAAACCCTAAACAGTAAACCCTAAAATGCCTGAACCTTGCAAACACCCCTGAGCACGAAAATACATGAACCCTCTGACTCCGAAACCCTGAAATCCCCAAAACCGAAAATCCCTGAATGCTAAAACCCCCCAAAAACCCTAACACCCCCAAATCCTAAAATCCCTGCACCCTAAAAAACCCTGAACCCTCTGACCCCGATCCCTAAACCCGAAAGACCCTAAACCCTCAAATCCCAAATCCCAAATCCCTAATCCCTAACAACCCCAAACCCTCAAATGCCCAGACCCTAGACCCCCTAAACCCTAAAATCCCTGGACCCGACCCCGAAACCCGAAATCCCTGAACCCAAAAACCCTAAACCCTAAAAGCCCAAAAACCCTGGCACCCCTCAACCCCAAAACAATAAACCCTAAAAACCCTAAACCCTAAAACCCTTGAACCCGCTCACCCCCTAACCCTGAAACCCCTAAACCCAAAAATTGAGAGAAAAAAAAAAAACTAAGCCCTGAAATCTCTGAACACAATAACCTCTAGACCCAAAAACTGTTAAACCCTCAAGTCCCTAAACCTAAACCCTGAAATCCCTAAACCCTCAAACCTCAACCTCTGAACGCCTATAACCCCTAAAACCTAAAACCCACAACCCTACAACCCGTACACCCTGACATCCCTGAACCCTAAAAGCCCTAAACCTGAACATCCCTAAACCCTGAAAACCCTAAACCCTAAACCTGAACACCCTAAACCCGAAAATCCCTACACGCTCCACCCCCCTAAACCTTGAAATCCCGAAACACCCACATATCCTGAACCCTGAACCCTACAAACCCTAAACCCGAAATTTCCTGAACCCTACAACCCCTTAACCTTAACATCCCTACACCCTCAAACCCCTAAACCTCAAAATCTCTGAACACTATAACCCCTAAACCCTAAAATCCCTAGCTCCTTATACCCTAAAACCCCGAAGCCAAACAAATCTAAACCCTAAAATCCCTGAACCCTAAAAACCCGAAATCCCAGAAAAAAAATAGATCTAAAATCCCTAAGCCCAAAATCTCTTAACCCTCGAAACCCTAAAAACCTCTACGTGCAAACATCCCTAAAGCCTAAAATCCATACACGCTGAAAGTCCTAAACCCGTAAATCCCTGAACTCCCTAAACGCTAAAATTCCACTAAACCTAAACTCCTCTAAAAGCATGATGCCTAAAGCCTAAAATCTCTAAACCCTAAACTCCCTAAACCTATAATCCCTAAACCCTAAAACCCCTAAACCCTACAGCCCCTAAACCCTAAATACCCCTAAACCCGAAAATCCCTAAACCATCCTAAACCCGAAAATCTCCAAACCCCAAAATCCGTAATAATCCCTGCACCCTAAAATCCCTAAACCCCAAAATCCGTCAACCTTAAAATCCCTGCACCCTAAAATCTCTAGTCCCTAAAATTCCTTTTCCTGTCTAAGCTAGCGTTTCGAAAGTGTCTCCTATCTTTGCATTACTGCTCAGGCGCAAGTCTTCTTCGGGCCTTGGAATCTACCTGTATGCACCTTTGCTAGTCAGACTTCACTGCCTGCAGCACTCGGTTTTGGTGCTGTCCGCCGAGCTCCAATTTAATCAGCTCTTTCACAACGAACTTGTCTTGGTTGCAGGTTCCGTTCCCGGATAACGACGAGATTTGACGAAACTTGTTTTTGCACAGTCCAACTTGTTGCAATGTTCTCCGGTTCTCAGTGCGGTAAAGACCTGGCTTCACGACTGGCTTACATTGGCGGCGTCTGCCAGAACAGTCGTGGTCTCTTCTAAATTGCTTTTGCAGAGAGGGAACGACTGGCACTTTCCAGGCTCTGGACCAAGACTTCAGAC